TTAATTTTTCTTGTTGGTTTTTTCTCTTTAATACTAGACATATATTTTATGTCAGTTTTGATTTATACTTTAGATTGAAGGTATGATGAAGGTATATATTCTCCGAAATCTAGCACCAATGTATTGTTATTCAAACACGATCAGTGGTTGTACCAATATTCGTAAATCTTTCTTTGATGTCAAAAGAAGATATTGGCTCAATGATTTGAGTTCAATGTTAATCACAAATAATATCCGACGATTTTCCATGTCATGTTTATTTCATGATGATCCAGTTCTGGGTAATGATTATTTAACTTAAACTATTAAAACTTTATTTGTTTGATGCATGTTGAATATTTCACAGGATTGCCCGACGATATATGTTCGAATAATTCATTACAACGAAGAGATCAATGGAAAAAATACAGATCAATGACAAACATTGAAGGTAAAAATAATTTTATCATTTATACATCACTAGCTTCAGCTACTGTCTATTTTCAGATATTCGTAGATCTCGACAACGAATAGAAGAACTTGAAAAGAATGGTTTGGTTAGTGAACAGTCATTATCATATCTTAGTCTCATGCTTTCTTTTTAAAGATTGTCTATGATTCTGCTGATCCTATTCAACCAAACTGGGATTATATAAATGATGAATATTGTACAACTTCTGATAATACGACTAGCAGTGACAAATTCGATAAGAAAATCAATCCAATGTACATGAAAAATCGTCATTCGAATACTTTCTTTGATTCTAGTAGAAGATCTGGTCAAAAGCATGTCTATCTAAGAGAGCATACATGAAGATATTGAGTATTCGAAGCATCGATAAAAATTTTTTTTTCGAATTTTTTTGCTTATTCAACACATCAATGTCTAAAACCACTAATCCAAAAAGTTTAGCTTCTAATACCCTTTCTATGAAAAGTTAACTAATATCAACTTTTAGCACTATGAAACCTTTTTGGATGCTTTTTTTCCTTTTTTTTAAATTAAGATGAAAAAAATAGATTTGATCTAAATAACTAAATTATATCGATATCGGACTCGAAAGGTTGACGCACCTTGCTATAAAATATGATGGTGAGAGTTTTATTCTCAAGTTTTAGTTTCCAGGTTCGCATTAGGGATAGTGATTCTCTGTTAATTTATTTTAAATTTAAATTTTTGCCAATTTAACTTTTCTCAGATATGAAAATTTAAATTTATTTCAAGTGTAAATAATAAAAATTTAAATTCATTTAAAATTTAAATTGAATTTACATAAATTTTAAATTCAGTTTAAATCAATATAAATCCAATTTAAACCAAATAAAATTCAATTTAAATTCATTTAATTAAATTCAAATCCTATCTGAATTAATGTGGATGGATGAAAATCCAATTGAATGAATTTAAATTGAATTCTATTTGGTTTAAATTTGAATTTATATTAATTTAAACTGGATTTAAATAAATTTAAAAAATCTGAATAAACTTAACCCTTTGGGGACGGGTTTTTTTTTCTGTATATTTCGTCATAAATCATTCAACGTTTCTATTTTCTAAAAGAACTTATAATCTATTACTGGATATCTGAATAAAATAACCTAATTACAATCCAAATTATACCAAAAAACTCTCTGATAAATGCTTTCACAAAAACTAATCTCATATAGGAATCTGCGTGTTTTGAGATGCTAGAGAATCGTCATGGCCCCTTAAGGAGCCAACCGTCCCCAAAGGGTTAAATAATTTTAAACAAATCAAAATTTCTGTAAATTCAATTTAAATTTAAAATAAATTTAAACTCACAAAAATTTATTTTTAGATTTATTAAACTTTCATAAATGTAAATTGATCATCCCTAGTTAGGATTTCTACACGTAAATATTCAATTTCCCTTCGTCACCATTTTATGTAAACAGATACTTTCATGGTCAGTTATTTTCGCCGGATTTTTGCTAGTTTGGCTGTAAAATTTTTCCGGTCGACTGCTGGCCGAACCAGATCGGATCGATTCTTTAATCGACCAAACCGGACCGGACAGAAAAAACTGTTCGGTTCCAACTCTGATATAGAGAGCAAACGTTATTCATGTGGTTAATCATAGTTCTGTGTCTTCAAGACTATTTAAAATTTAACAAACAGTTTAGTATCTTTTTTTCAATCAATGTGCGATAGCTACTGATGTCATCACTATTGATCTTATTTTATATGTCAAATTGTTTATTCTATTTATAGATCAAAATGACAAATGTCGTATTAGTTGTGAGATTACCTTTCCTTTATCGCAAATATAGTTCAAGGTACAACTATGTTACAGAATTATACCTTAGATAGCTCGAAAGAGGAGAAAATTTTCTAGAATTTCATATAAAATTTTCCTCCTAAGACGTATTTATATCAAAACATACACGGATCATATTAACATGATTACTATAATATAATAGGACACTTACACAGAAAATAAGGTTGAACCTTGACAATATAGAAACATAAATAATATAACTATTTTACTTCATTTTGTAGCCCAAACATTTCTGCATCTGAAACACAAAACTTTTGTGTTTATAGAGGTTATTGTAGGTTTGAAGGATTTGTGGGAAAACAGTGAGATTCTATCAAGAAAGAACATATTTTCTCGGTTATTATTCTATTAAATAGCATAATGTTTGATTTGACTTGTCCAATGTCAAATAATTTTTCGCGTCAAGATAGAGAAAAATAAGCTGAACAACTTTTCGCAGAGGAATATTAGTCAGCATTGTGTCCTAAGAATGGTAGAGATTTCATAATTGATCACCAGTTAATATAACTGGAGTGATCTGAATTATCCGAACAAGATTTGCTTAGCTGATCCAAATTATCCTGAATTCATTTTTACCTTTAAAAAAAATGATTGATAGAGATGTCAGTGTTGTAAGTACTGCATTACAACAGTTCGTTCGTTCGTTCATTGAAATATTTTTAGGTCCCATAGAAGATGTTTTGGACTATCGAATGATATATTTTTTTTTATTATACAAGAATGAATAAAAAAGGAGTTATGAGATGGAAAAATAAGTCATCGTCATTTTTGCTGGATTAATCGAAAGTACCCTGATTACATTGACTAACTGATCGGAATTACCCCAAGTGAGGTAAGTCGGATCAGCTCGATCCGCCTCTCTCCTTTCATCATTTTCACTATGATTTTTTTTTCAAGTAGATGCTTTTTTGGAGATTCTTTCTGTAGTCGATAGAAGACACTTTGATCTACTTCTGGTAAAAAAAATTACATTGATAGGACATATAATGAAAGAGAACGAAAAAAAACAAACTAAATTTTCAAATTTTTGATCCAAATTACTCCACGTGAGTGTATATTGGAGTGATACTTGATCGGCTCATGAAAGCTGTCTTAATATCTGACTGAAATCTTTCTTGTGCATCCGTAGTGCTAGTTTCGAAAAGGATACATTTTTTGTTGAAAATCGATACTTTGTATCTGTCCTGATTCGATTTTTTGTAAAGTCTATTCTCAAATTAATACGTTTTCTTTGTTTTAGTCATTATTTTGAAGCTGCCCAGGTCGAACAAGCACGGTCGTAAACGACCGTATACGGAGAAATACGACGATTTACATGTGATCGTATTACGATCGTATATCTCCGTGTCGTATACGGAGCAATACGATCGTATACGGACGAAAAAACGGTCGTTTACGGAGACAGTAAATGGAGGCCGTATACGGTCTCCGTTTTTCTCCATATACGGTCGTATACGACCGTATACGGTTACGGAGATATACGATCGTAATACGATCACATGTATTACGGCAAAACACGGTCGTAAACGGCCGTATTTTTTCCGTATACGGTCGTATACGATTGTTTACGAACTCCGTAACGTTCGACCTGGGTGGTGAAATTGTTTTGATGAATATGAAGAATCTTGGTGATAAAAAACGACCAGTATTAATCATCTCATCTGATTACCATAACAGTCTTGTCAATGCTACTTTACTTATTGTACCAATTACCTCGAGATTAATTAACACCGGAATTCATCAATTTCACATATCTCCCCATGATACTGTAAATGAAATGGTGATAAAAATGAGATCAATCATCTTACTTGATTATTCATCATTTATTCATCAATCAGAAGTCGAATCGGTGAATGATTATTTACAGAACGACATATTCATATCATTCATTAAATGGTGGAAATGGAGGATCAATGGTATTTTGCCATCTTTTTGATTAATGACTATATTGTTCTGAACCTATTTGCATACGAACTATTTATGATTATCAATTTTTTCATCGATTGATTAAAAAAAAACGAACAGAAAAAGTCACCATTATTTTTCATTTTATTGATTCGTTTTGAAAATGTAGATGATATATAAAAATAGAATCTCACACTTAAATAATATATTATACTTATATTTACTATACATTTTATTGATAGACATGATTGTCAAAAAAGAAGAATGAAAGAAAATGAAATCTTTCTGTTGATTTTTATGTCTATTGTTTATAATAATTTTTTCAAAAAAAAAAGCGAAAAATGAAGTTAATAATATTTATCTGGCTCTATGTGCTTCAAAAAAAAAGGAAGAAGTTGATATTAATATCGAAATATAAAGAAAAAATTGAACGAAATAAAGCATTAAAAAAATGGTTAATCAAGAGTGATACAAATACTTAAGTAGAAAAATATATTTTTGAATTAGGAAGTTATTCGCATCTTTATGGAATAATTTTCAGTCCTACAAATTCATGTCATTAGGATTGGTTCTCTGAAGAACTTTTCCAAATACTATTAAAATAAGATGTATTCATGAAAAATTCGTTTTTTAAAAAATAATCTCGCACTGAAAGAGTTAAAGGAAAATATCTCAAACCATTAATGATAAAGAGTACGAAACTGGAGATTAGAAGTTTTTATTCATCAATCTCGCATTGATTTCTCCTATCCGTTCCACAGGCAAAAGTAGGAAGTCAATAGACATTGGAAAACTGTGGCAAACTTCTTTCCTGACTTACGGTGATAAATGTTCATCATTTTTTCGATCAAATCGACGAATATTTTCATCACTTCCTCCATTTCCTGAATCAGCTCTTTCGAAAACAACAATTGGTTGTTCAATTATAGTTGGTATTGGTATTGATTCAATTCTTCCTATTAATTCATTCATTGATGTTGGACGTTTTGTTGTTGATAATGATGGTATTTTTCTTGATGTATCAACATTATTTTTAATTCCATTAACACCAACAACTATTGTTGGTGTTCGTCGTCCATTTGATGTTATTTTTGGTTTTATAGATGGTTCAGAATTTCTTATTACCATTTTTTTTGGTAATGATTGAGTTTTTGATATTATTGGTCCAATACTTTTTGGACGTGGTTTTGTTTATTGAAGTTCTACAAGTGATTTTCTTGTCATAGATAATGATGATGTATCTTCTTGTAATTGTTGTTGTTGTTGTTGTTTAGAAACTGTTTGTAATTGATGCATAAGATCAAGTCGTTTACGTTCGATGATTTCTTTTTCTTGTTTTAATTCAGCATTTTCATATTCTAATATTTCAATACGTTCTTTTAAACGATTAATTGTTGTTGACCAACGTGTTTTAGGTTGTTTTAAATCTTCTTGTAATATTAAAACCTATGGAAAACAAATAAAGATCAATAAAATGTTTAGTTCTTTTTCTTCACTTGTTTTTTTTAATGTTTCAATTTCTTCTCGTTCACGTTTATCTCGATGATTACGTAATTGTTGTCGATGTTGTTCAAATAAACGTTTTTCATGTTTTAATTTTTTTATTTCTTCTTCTTTCATTTGATGAAATTTTTTCATTACTTTTTGTTTAGTTTTTTCAAATTCATCATGATCTTGTTTTAATTTTTTTATAGCTAAATTATGTTCATTACAAAGAAATTGTAATTTAGCATTTTCTTTTTCAAAAAGTTCTATTTGTTTTTCAAGTTCTTTAGCTTTTTCACGAACTAAACGACTATAATCTTGATTGGGTTCAGCCATATGTGATGGAGGTGGAGAAAGAGGAAGAGGAGCAGGCGCTAGTGTTGGTAAAGTGTGTCATAAACCTGGAAATGTATTGAGCATTAAGGAATTAAGAGGTGAAGCAGTAACACGATCAGTCCAGGAATGATCATCACCAAAATCAGATGAATGTGCTGAATCTTTCTTTTGTTGATGTTGTACTTGTTTAGAAAAATCAGTTCTAAATGAACTAATACCACTATCACTATTATACTCATCAGAAACAACAGGAATAACTTTAGCGACGCTAACATCATCCCATTTATAATCTTCTTGACTATATTTGGTATATTAACAATAATGAATATTAGAAAACTTCGAACACAAATTACTCCACAAAATAATGATGCTCGAAATGAACGTTTACGTTCAAAAGATCGTCAATTAATAATAATGCTTCTTATTCAAGTTCTTATTACAATTCTTTGTACATTACCATTTTCAGTTGTTAATATAACATCAATGATTTTTCAATATTTAATAACATTATTTGATTATGGTGATGCAATAAATACATTTTATAGTAATATAGGTCGTTTAATAAATTATTTTAATCCAGTTGTTGGATTTTATATACATACACATTATCAACTTAAGCATTTCGTAATGAAATGAAATGTATGATTATGGAAGCAATAAGATTTATTTTGACAAAATTAGGTTTGGAAAGATTTATACCATCGGAAAGACAAGGACAAGTTCGTAGAATTACACATGAAAAAGCAGTATCAACAATGGTAAAGTGAAAACAAAGTTCTTTGTTAATGCACCTTTAAAAAAATTACGGAAACTTCATATAAATAATTGTCCAATAAAAAGAAGTATGAAACCTCTCGTTGTTTTGTCGTCATTCCTTATTCAGCAGATGCTTATCGTTATGTTTTTTTTTCTCAATGCTTATTGTTGTTGTATGATGTGCAAGAGAAGTTATGTTTATTAATCCTGCAAATTTAAAATTTTATTTAAAGAAACACAATATTTTTGTTCTTTCGAACTGATAAAAAATGTTTACTTTCTGATCTAACTATGATTTTCTGTCGTGTTGTTGCAGGTAAATAAAATTCGAAAAGTAAATATTCTTTTTTATTGTTCTAATCAATATAAGTTCTTATTTTTTTTTCTTTTAGCTTCAAGAAATACATGAACAACTTGAAAAAACAATTCGAATGAGTTTACAAACAACACTCAATCAAGTTTATAAAGAAAAAGATCTTGTAATTGAATTATTTTTATTAAAATTCAAGACAAAAAAAAAATCTTTTTTTCAGGATGCAAAAAATCGTTTTGCTAAATATTCAAATCAACTAAATGATGTTAAAACTCGTTTACAACGTGAAATTTATGGCAATACACATCCCGGATCACGGGAAAATTCCACATACAATATCGTTCAACAATAACAACAAGTGCATCATTATCTGCTTTATTTCATCATCATCATCATCATCATCATCATCATTAAATACCAATAAATTCATTGACATCTCAATTAGATGAAAACACAAATCGACAAGCAATTAATATTAGTGATAATTTACATAATCAATCAGATGATGAAAATTTAATGTGCTATATTAATCAAACGACCGAATCAACACAATTTTTATTTTTATTTATTTTTTCACTTTAAATGTTCGTGTTTGTTATTGTCTTCCTTTCTCCAATTGTTTTTTATTTATTCTATTTGATAATTAATTTCAATCTTTCTTTTCTTTTTGTTTTGGTTTTTAGGGATAATCTTTTTATGGAGAGAGAAAAAGAAAAAAGAAACGGTGATTTGTCTTTCGTTTATTTCACTTTTAAATACTTGTACATGTAAATATCAAATCAGAAAAATAAATAAATAAATTCAAAATTCATTTTTTTTGTTTTCCAAACTTTTCTTTTTCTTTATTTAATAAATATTTATTTATTAAGATTCTAACAAACATGATAAAATAAAATAAAAAAAACAAATATTAGCTTGCTGATTTGTTTTTTTTTTGTTGACAATATTAAGATAAAAATAGATATATATATATATATATATATTTCATCAGTCGATCAGTACATTTTTGGTCACGTTTCATTTTAATAATATGTGAAAAAAAAACAATAATAAGAATTGTCAATTAAACTTTTATGTTTTTTATTTGAGATGGTTATAAACATTGATTTGTAAATATAAAGTCAAACATACTTTAGTAAAAATTTAATCTTCTAATACATATATGATGATATTTTGAATTATTCATTTAAGTAATAAAATACTTGAAGAAATGATTTGTCTTAATATCATGTTTCTTTTTTCCTTCGGAATTAAAATGAGATAATTTTGTTTGAAAAGAATATTTAATAAACTAA